ATAAAAGAAAGAAGCTTAGGGCTGTGTACTACACTGTATTGTGTTCAGTGTGACATGGAGTTCACTTGCGATTGAAAAGAGGGCAAATGAGACAGGTCTTAACACTAAGACATCTTGTGAGTAAAGGGAAGAAAAAAAAAAAAAAAAAAAAGAGTCTTTTATGCCCTTTTCTTATATAATGCTTTATTAGTGCAATCTAGTGAATGTTAGAAGTTCTTTGACAGAAAAGATTTGTCCTCGCTTTGAATATTGTTGCCACATCTTGTCTGATTCACCTGTTGTATATTTAGAGATTTTTGATAAAATCCAAAGAAGAATATGCAATGTTATTGTTCCTGACCTGTCATCTCAGCTTCGGTCGCTTTCCTGCAACCATAATGTAGCTTCCCTGTGCCTTTTCTATAAATGCTTTCATGGTAATTCTTCTGATGAACTTTGCTATATGCTACCTACACGCTTTCACCATTTTATGGTTGAAATTGCCAGATTTAACCATAAGTTCTATGCTAACAGTTTATCTTCTTGCACTTCTGTCAACTCTTCAAATATTTAAAGATGATGTCAATTGTCATCTATCTTTTTTAATTTTATTCTTTCATTGTTCTCTCAATAATGTTTTATTGCTTCAAAATTGAACAAAAATATTTAACCTAAGCAATCAACATAATTCCAATATAATAATTCTTTTAATCTCAGTAAACTCTTGTTTCTTAGTGGCATTATTACCTTGCTTGTGATGAAATGATCCCCTCCCAATGATTAACCTTCCCCCCCCAAAAAAAAAAACAAACAAACACACTGTATTTGATTGATAACATTTTGAACAAACACCTGTTTTTTTTCTTCCTACTTTATGACGTATGCCTTTTCTTTCATTATCATACATCAACCACTCCTTGTTAATTGAACTCCTGCAAAGTCACCACTTCATTTATTCAAACTTTGGCAGTACATCTGAGAACAAAGTATGGAATCTTAATTCACTCAAGCCAATTTTTTTCTTACTTCTAATTAATAAATGGGCATTTGTCAATCAACTTAAAATCAAATAATGTCTATGAATTGATGTTTTATTTGAACTCGTATCTTTACTGAGTTATTTGTGTTGTTTTAACTACAATCTTTCTATCCTCATCATCAAAGATGATTTTCTAACAGTATTCTTTTGTTATATATAACTTAAAAATTCCCACCAACAATAAATTTGCTTTATGGTACCTAGATGTTCTCATTTTACTGTTGAAATTGCCAGATGTTCTATGCTAACAATTTCTTCTCTCACTCTTTTTGCTTGTGGAACTCTCTTCCAGCTTCTTACTTTTTAATCAAGTTTGATCTTTAAAAATTTTAGAGATAATAGTGGTTTAGTGATAAAAGTCTTACTAATTAACCCATAGCTCATGGGAGAAGAGCTGATTATTTGCACATAAGTGAATATAACGAATCCTGCAGGAATTGGAATAATTATCTATTATACACCCAAACATCCAAGTTTATAACATCTGGTATTCGCAAGAAGTCACTCATCTAGTTGCTTAACTTTGGTGATAAAACAAAAACAAGTGTTTTAATATGGTGTGGCTGTATGCCTTAATAATAGAACAAGATTTAAAAAGATAGTTGTCGATGTTGGACAACAGGAAGAGGCAAATGTTGTTGCTTTAAATTTCTGAAGATCAAAGTTTACTAGAAAGCAAGATACCAGAAGATCTATGCTAATAGTTTAATTTCTCGCACTTCTCAGTTGTGGAACTCTCTTCTGGCTTCTTGCTTCCCAGACAACTTTGATCTTCAAAAATTTAAATACGATGTCAATTGCTATCATTTGTTTTCTTAAAACCTGTTCTTTTATTGTTCTTTTTCCTTAATAATGTTTTTTTTACCATATTCTTTCACTCTCTTGCATCTTAGCAGTTTTATTACCTTGCTTGGGATGGAATGATTAAAAAAGTTTAATGACCATTGTTTTCACTCCTACATAATGCTTTTTTTTTTTTTTCCTTATATTCTTTCACACTCAGTAGATCCTTGCATCTCAATGGCTTTATTGCCTTGCTACGGATGAAATGATTATAAAAAAAAAAAAAAAGAATTAAATAAAAATACATTTCACATCTTAAACATTTTATGTATGGACAATGGAAAAGATGAAACATGGTACACAGACCTTTTTTTCACATTGTCATTCATAAATTACTTTCTCTTTTAAGTAAAACTGTATTCTTTAAGATAAAATTATGGCCAGACCTTGTTATATGGAATGCCTAATGCAATGAGTGTATTGTATAGTCCTGGATGTAAATTTACTGTGAAAGATTCCAAAAGGAAAGCAAATGTAAAAAAAATAATAAATTACTTTATCTTTTAATTAAAATTGCATTCTTTAAGTAGGAATTATAGTCAGACCTCTTTACAGAGTATGACTAATCCATTGATTGTATTGTAAAACCTCCCTTTTATATTCTGATAATCATTTAGAAAACACTGGTTACAATATGTTATATTCCATACTAAGGGAATAAAATACTTAAACACCAGATGGATAATAGAAGAAAGATTTATTGTACACAACCAGCACAATATTAAATATGGTACAGTTATACACACAGGTCAATCTAGTAATGAGTGCCACTAATTGAAAGGTCGAACGTGCTTGTGTCTTCTCACTCTCACTCTAGTCTCTCATAGACAGTTGACTTTATAGTTACTTACTACTTATAGTGTAATCATTCATGGGGGTGACTGGTTATTCCATTACATCACAATATGATCACCAAAGTTAAGCAACATCAATTTTGGTCAGTACCTAGATGGTTGACTACTTGGGAATACCAGGTGCTGTAAGCTTGGATGTGCAGGTGGTGTAATGAATATGGCCTATGAATTTTTAATTGGAGAGTTCCAATTCTTGTTGAGTTTATTAAATTCACTTACACACAAATACCCTTCAGAAAGATATGAATCCATCTCTTTTCCCCTCAGTTATGGGTTAATTAGTAAGACTTGTATTACTAAAACCATTATTCTCTAAAAAAAAAAAAAAATTGTATAGAAAATATTAACATTTCAGCATTAAATAACCAACTGTGGTTTATATTTCACTAAACAAAAACGACGACTTAACAATATTTACCCTATGTATTACTGGTGACATTTTTTACTTTATTCTTGGAAAATGATATAGAAATTTTTGTATATAAGAACAATTTTAGGAAAATCTATGACGGAGTGTAAAAAATTTTTTGCATGAAGTGTTTCATCCTTTAGGAATTCATTGAACTAAAGTGATGTGCTTACACGTGTATAAAGAAAAGATACTGAAATTTTAATTTTTGTTTTTAAATATCTGTTTTGGTTTATAGTATAACTGATTTAATTTACTTTCTTTATGCTTTATTACTTTTTTTATTAAATATCCCGTATTGTGATAATAAAAGATCTGCTAAAAAAGGTGAAATGTTGTAAGAACTTGGGCTTAAATTTACTGCAGATCATCTAGCAATTAAAGCACTTTCTATACATTTTTGTTTAAGTAAATTGTTTTTTATTATAATTAAAGTTGCATTTTTTTTTTTTTTTTTTTTTAAATCAAAATTGTGTTCACACTCATTACAGTGTGCAAGTAACATACTGAGTGTGTTTTTTTGTAAGAATCCCTCGTATGTTCATATAATCTTTTATTTAAATTCCTTGATGGATCACCTATGTATTTCTTAAGACATTTTTGCAGTCTTTTTTGGAAATTCCAACTTCTGGTTTAAGATTGTTATTCTGTTTTGCCTTAATTAAATTATCATGATTAATTAATTTGTAACAAATTTATATTCAGTTTAAATAAGTTATTTTCAATTGTTGTCATTTTTGAGTTGATAGGTAATATTATACATCTTGTTTCATCAACATTATATTATTTTGTTTTTTTGATTCTGTAAATTTGTAAACGTTTTTCTTTGGGTCATATGAAATCATTTGGATACCGATGGAGTTGAAAAGTATTTTCAATGTATTTGAAAACATTGATATTCTCTAACAACATACATGTATTTTAAAGTTTATTTCAAAGTTTATTTAAAGTTTATTTTGCAGTTTGTTTAAACTTTATTTAATAATTTATTAGAAGTTTATTTAAAGTTTATATAATAGTTTATTTGGAAGTTTAATTAGAAGTTTATTCATAGACAAATGAAAATATAATGAAAGAAATATACTGCTTCTACAATCACATTCACTTCTTGTCAATGGCACAGAATCTTCCTGTATTTTGTTCATCTGAGATTTCTGGAAATTTAAACTACCATCCTAATTCCTTGTTCATTCTTACTGGAACGTTCTGTTTCTCTTCAGGCAACATCTTTCATGTCGGTGTTTTCATGCATACAGTTTAATCTTGTTATGGTTGACATTAAAAACTATTTTACTTACCAAAAACACATTGCCTCAGGATGACAAAAGAAGATTACAGTTGAAATTGTTACCTTTAATTTAGTTATCCAATCAAATTCTGACAGCTTTCAATTTTTACTTAGGGACAAAGCAAAAATAATTAAAAGAGAAAAAAAAAGTTAAAAGTGTTGGATGAGGTTTGTGACTTTATTGTCCTCTCCTGATTGATGGCTTACGAAGGGTGCAAAGTGCAGTTAGGTTTGGGGGACAAGATTTGTTTGCTTTTATTTTTACTGTTTAAAGTTTCTGTATTTTTTTTGAAAGGTAAATCTAATTGTCATGGAAAAGAACAATTTTGAACAGCGAAAGAGTTAAATTCAATTTGAGGCTTCAAAAGAGTATGAGGTGGGAAAAAATATCAAATAATGAAGAATAAAGTTAAAAAAATATAGTAAGAAAATGAGAAGGAAAAAAGCAAAAATACAAAAAAAACAAATAAGTTTTTTATTTTCTGGAAATGTGGCATTGCAGTTAATTACTTTTGTTGTCTTTTCAAGTAACTTGCTGTTTACTATTTTTTATTATAGCTGTAACTGTTTTTTTCCTTCTGTTTCTAG